ACTCTTTAATACACAAACAAAATTTCATATTAGAGTTTCGTATTTTGTAATTTTTGAGATTTTTATTATAGTTTTTAAAGGTGAAATATATCAGTTTAAGACAAACATTTTTTTTTTTTTTTTTGATATTTGAATTTGTGCAACCCAAGTACCCCATGGTTGTTAAAATTGCGATCCGGAGCGTAGGATGATCCTACGATCCTACTTTGCCAAAACGATCCAAATCGTTGTAGGATCATGTAGGATCGCATGGGATCGTGTAGGATCGCATGGGATCGTATAAGATCGTAGGTAGGATCGCAAGTAGGATCGTAGATTTTATAATTTTTCACCTTATTTTTAATATGTATCATTTTAATTTTAATTTTTATCTTTTTTTTTTAATAGAAAGTAGGATCTTACGATCCTACAATCCGATCCACCAGACCCTCTCACTGATCCTACTTAGGATCCCAATTTTAACAACCTTGGTATACCCCAAAGTTATTTAAGCTAAACTCAAACTTGAACTTGTCCAAACAAGTTGAGAGAGAGATTGGTGTCAATCTCATACTCAAATTTCAATTGATCTCTCCATACTTCAAATTGAGTCTAGACATTCCCCCGACCGATCAATTTATATTTGAATTTGGACAATTTAAACTTATATTGAATTCTTCGAGTTAAACCCAAATTTAAGATTCTTTAAGCTGTGCTTCTCAAATCTCTCAATTAAACATAGCTTTAGTGCCCATTTGAAAACTTTGTATTTTAGTAATTTTTTAACTTTTTTGATTTTTTTATGAAGTAAAAAAAAAGGATTAATTACACTTTAACCCCCTATGGTTTGACGAAAAACACATAACCTTTATAATTTTATTTGTAACACTTGGGGGCTGTTTAACATCCCTTATATTAGTACATTTTTTTATCTTTTTATTCTTTTAGGTCATATCACCTCACTACTTTTCTGCACATCTTTTAATAAAAAATTTAAAAATATATTTATTTAGACCATCACAAACAATCTCTTAAATTCCCTAGATATTTTACACCCAGTTGTTTGATTTGACCACTAGACTTGGTCTCTCTCTCTCTCTGTCTCAATTTTCTCTCTTTAAGGGGTTGTTTGGAGTGTCCTAAATAAGTGAACTTTTTGTCTTTTTAGACTGAAAAATTGAGGAAAAAAATATGGATATTTGAGTTAACTTTTTGACCTTTTATGGAAAAAATGTGTATTAAAAAATTGTATAAATTAGTGTGTAGGGGAAAATGAAGATTGAGAGTTGTGCAGCCATAATTTTTGACTTTTGATGAATAGTGATAACTTTTTAACTTTTTGAGTAACTTTTTGGCTTTTTGGCTTTTTTTCAACTTGCCAAACTTGGCCTAAAGTTCACCTCCCATTGCAACTCTAGCCCCAACCTTCAACTTCGAATCTGGATCCTCTCCTTGGACTCTCTCCTTGGGTTCCTACTTGCAACGGTGGAGATACACCCAAACAGATCCAACGGTCCAAACCTGGCTAATAAAAAAAAAATTAAAACAAATTGAAAATGAAATTTTCCCATGCAAAGCTATACATACCAGGTTATACACATTTGACCTCACTCTCACTTAGCCTCACCTTCACCCCTTTTCCTCCACTGAACCTAGCCTCACCGGCGACCCACTCCCGACGACGACCCACTCTCGATGGCAACCCACTTCCGACGACGACGACCCAGTCCTGAAACCCAACCCATTGAGGTGGATTGATTCTCTCTGCTTCACAAACCAAATCCCTCACGCTATTCTCCTTCATCTCACCGGCGACCCACTCCCCAAACCTAACCCATTACTTTGCCATCATTCTCTCTGCCCTCACTTTCGCGAACCAGAGTTCCCTTGTGAGCAAACCAGTCCCTGTAGCTTCAAACACCCGACATATGAGTCCGACGTCAATCATCCACAGGTTAGTCTTCATTGTCTCTGTAATTGAATATTTCAACTTCATTTGTTTGATACATGAAAACAATCAAGTGATATAATTTTTGCCTATTGGTAATGGTTGTTGATATCCTTGGCCTTGACATACATAATTTTTGCCTGTTGGTAATGGTTCTCCTTGGTCTTGACATACATAAGTTCAAGAAATTGATGTTTGTATGTCAATAAATTAACTGATGCACTAAAAATTTATGTTTGTATGTCAATTTCATTATCCTATTAAACCATGAACCAACCAATATAAACACTTCAAACGATATTTCAACAACTTAACGATGCACTGAGAATTTTGCTGGATTCACATAATAATTATTCAAAAATTAGTTTTTATATTTTGTTAGTTTGACAACTATAAACACTAAAAAGATATTTTCAATTTTTTCAGAAATTATTTGTACCATATACAAGATAAAATCATGTGAAAAAGATGTAGTTGATCCTGGTAAATATGATGAAGGCTTGTTGAATTGGGTTGGCCTTTTTTTGTATTGGTTTTATGCAAAGCCATAGTTTCAATCAACATTCAAGTAATCTTCACTTTTATCATGACCTCAACCCATGTCTGTTTTGACTTGCTCTTCATTTTTCTCACAATGATTAAGGATGAAATTGTTTATTTTTTATTTTTTATTTTTTATTTTTTATTTTTTTATGTAGCAAATATAACTTATATGACTTATTCTGTAGCTAACATTTGATTTATATGGCTTTTCAGTTGCATTTTGACATGGATATGGAACCAGAGAATGATTGTGATTGGAAGCCAAATGAGGGAATAGCATTTAATTCAGAACAAGGTGCATATGATTTTTATAATGCATATATGGAGGAAGAATGAGATTTAGCATAAGGAGGGATTATTGTAGCAAGAACAAGTTCACTAACCAACTTATTTCTAGAATTTTGGTTTGCAACAAGGAGGGATTTCGGAAGGTTGACAAGCGAGACCCATTAACAAAAAACCCTAGAGCTGAAATTAGGACTGGTTGTGAGGCACGATTTTATGTTAAATTAGATTGTTATTACATTTTATGTACATCGAGTTTGCCCCTTTGTTCTGTCCATTGTGTGTTTTTTATATATATATATATATATATATATTTTGGAAAATTCAATTTGCCTCATTGCTTTAGTTGCTGAATTTGCTGCTGTGTTTTCTTTGTTTTTCTGTTTTTTTGTTTTAGGCTATCGACAAGCACAAAGAGGTGGAACGCACTGGAAATTTTAGTTATAGCAGCTCATAAATGAAAGTTTCTACCTTAATGTTGCTAAAAAAGTTGTTGAAACTGTTGCTGTTCATGTTGTTGAAAATGTTGCTCATAACTGAATTTTTTTATTTATTATTATTTTTTTTTTTAATGTTGCTGAAAATGTTGTGTGAAAATGTGCTGCTGTGTGTTTTTAATGTTGTTGATGCCGTTGTGATATAAGATGTTCTTAGGTGACAATGTACATTTAGTATTGAACAGTCCATGTAACATTGACCAGAGTTATACCTTGGCTTGTATTTGCAATTTGGACAAACTTCATCCTTTCTTTTGTTGATCTTTGAATGGACAAATTTTATGTGCACTTATACCATGCCTATATATTCTTTCTTTTTTTTTGTTGGTTACATATGTCTATATATTCTTTCAGATATAAGAAATTAGGTGCAACAAAGGGGTTTCCACCAGACTTGGTTACCTATAATGTTATCGTGGATGGATTGTGTAAAGTGGGCAATTTGGAAGAAGCATATGAGTTGTTGCAAAAGATGGTTTGGGATGGTCTCTTGCCTGCTCATGTAACACATACCAGGATTATTCACACTGTTTTGGTGTTCAATCACGTAAAATGACATAGATTGGTGTTCATTCTTGTATAATTTACTTGTATTTTTATTTTTATTTTTATTTTTTTGAAAAAAAAAAAATGTTGGAGTTTGTTTATGGGGGTGATACTAATTTTTCTTTCATTAGTGCTGTGGGCAGATTTCATGTTCAATTGAGTGGCTGATTTCGTATTACTCTGGACAGATTGGTGTTCATGTACCACCTTCACAGATATAGATTTGGGCCAAGTAACATTGAACCAAATAGCATGGAGACACCGAAAACATGCGTGCATGTGACTTTTTTCATAGGCATTTCCTGGATCAATTGATAAGCATTGGCCTAACAGCATCAATCAATACACACTTACAAGTTCTATAATCATATAATCATAAAATCCATAACTACATCTATCAAATTTCCATTCATCAAAACCATCTAAAATCATTTCATCCATTCATCATAGCCAAAATGCTACAAACAATACAAACAAACCCACAACTAAGGATCACAGCCACATTTTTCGAAAATTGATAAAGACATCTATAGCATATCACACACATCCTGACATTATATTGTTCATCAAGTGAACTGCAATATGATTCTTTAATGTTTGTGCAAGTCTAATCCCTCCTGAATGTCTCTCTTTGATTTTTAAAATTGGTAAGTGTACTGATTTTACCAGATAAAAACGTTTACTACTATTTTATAATCTTCCTTTTTATTTATTAATGGAATTGTCTATTTTTCCTGTCGGAATAAACTCTGCCCAACACAATCACAATATTTTTGGAAACTAGTACAAATTGGGTCTATTTGGTCATATAGTTCTTACACTAATTTGAGAATTGTCTTGGTTGTCATGCTGGCTTGGGAATTAGTTTAGCTAGCCATATTTTCTTTGCTGGTTGCATCTATTTTTACCTGGGAAAGGTAGAAGGTCTTAAGTACTATAGGTTCGAAAAACAATTAACAAGTACGAGATCCAAGTTGAGTTACATAAAGTAGTTTGCATAATTAGAGTTGGTTTCCCATGTCAAGATCAAGCTAGGTTGTCATACCTCAGAGAGAGAGAGAGAGATAGTCCCACAATTTACAAATTGATGACCACAGAATCAAGCAAAGTATGATAGAGATGTAGTTATAGCTTTCAAATTGACAGAAAAATTAAAGATACTTTAATCAGAAGGATGTTACAAATGCCAAAAGACAACTGACCTGAAAAACAAGCTTCTTTTAGAGGAATTCAAACTCAAAAAAGGGCGTAGAAGTGTTGGGTCCAAGGTGTCTGCACAATTAGTTGCAATTATATCATTCACAGCTTAATTGACATAAAATTAGCCAATGATACAGTAATACATAGGAGTTGGTTGCATAAGTTGAAACCAACTTAGTTGGTTGCTTAAGTTGTCTGCCATATGTTAGCCAATTAAAGCTGAAACCATAATTTAAATCCACCCAAAACAGGAGGTGTAATACATATGAGTTGGTCGCTTAAGTTGACAGCTGCCCCAAAAGCTTGTCTTTGGGTAAACTAATATATTTTGATACTTATTCTTTCAGTGAAAAGTAGAACAACTTTAATGGCATTGATGATTCATGTTGATATGGCTTAAACTTTGCACTAAAACTAACCTTTGTTTTCTCCGTGCCATGAAAACTATTTACAGTGTCGAATAGAAAAGGGTGCTAGTAATGATACAGAGAGTCAACTTTTGCTTAGTGTGGGAACATGATCATCTTAGGGCATCTACAGCCATTTTACACAATTTGAGTAAAAATCACTTAAATCTGTATCAATTTCATAAAATTCATAATAACTAGGTAATGACTACACCTCATATCTCTGCTATCTTCTTGTAATACTGGCATTTTTTAAGTATAGATAATTGTCTAGTACACATCATAATCAAAATACACAAGTTCATAGCACTACAAATAATCAAGTCAAGAAAACCCAAATCAAAGCCCTAATTTTTGCCTGTTGGAATCCCAAATCAAAGTTCTAATTTTGAAATTTCAAATCTATCTTTTCAATCACAACCTTAACTTTTTAATCTGAATTTAAAATTAGATTTCCGAGTTTAGAGGACGAACCTGGTTCATCTATGGCCTGAGAACCCACGTTCTTCTCAACAAATTTCTTTGCTCCAGCCGATGGTTATATTTGAATTTGGACAATTTAAACTTACACTGAATTCTTCGAGTTGAACCCAAATTTAAGATTTTTTAGGATGTGTTTCTTAAATCTCTTAATTAAATATAGTCTTTCCGTTTGAGAATTGGGTATTTTAACAAATTTTTAATTTTTTTATGAGGTAAAAATAAATAAATAAATAAATTGCATTAGCCTCTTGTGGTTTGATGAAAAAACTAGAAACCCTTTAGAGCATTTCTAACGGTTCAGTAAATTTTTCACCAAATTTGAGTAAAAAAAATGTAATTTTTTCAATCTGATACGAGCAGCTTCAATCATTTTACTGTAACGTGCATCAAAGCGAATGGGGCGTCCAGTGGATCGACAGGTCGGTCGACCGGGTAGGCAACTCATTTTTTTTTATTTTTTTTTCCTGCTTGAATTCATGAATAAGGTAGTTGGTCTCGGATTCCTCTCCTATGACAAATTCAATCAGGAAATGTTGATTCTGCAAATGAGACAAAAAGGCTATATGAAACAAAAAACACCAGGACTTACTTCAACAAATTAATTTGTTAGTGACTCTTTATCATTGAATGAGTGCAAAAGATTGTAAAAGAAAGATCACAAAGGTGAAAACCCCAAGTCTCTCTTAGGTAGCCGAGAAAAGGGAAGGAATTGGAATGAAAAAACTCACAGTATACTTAACTGATAAAAAAATTTGTTATTCTTCAATGGAATTTGCATGCAAGCAATTTTTTTAAGAACATATTGTATATGTGTGTATATAAACATGCATTCATATACAGACACAAAAGATTCAAGAAATTCAATAAAGAAAGCTCTTAAGACTAATCAATTTCTTGGGGAAGAACAAATAGTTACCCAAGTTTCGATTGTGGGATAACATTATCATCATCATCGTGAGTAGTCAGTTTGTTGAAGGGTAGAAAATCAACATTTCCTTTGTTAGATCCCTTTGTTTCAGTACCATTTCAACCAGTTCGCAGGCCAATCAAAAATTGAAGCAAATTGAAGTAGACCAGACGTCCGGTCGGTTGACCGATGGGCCCCACTCCAACGTTACTGAACAGTAAAATGGTGAAATCTCACGCGAATCCTCAATTTAATGAAACTTTTGCTCCGTTCTCAGTTTGATATCAGTTTGGTGAAACTATTAGAGAGAGAAAAAGTGACTTTTTTCATCAAATTTAAATTTGATACTCAATCTGATGCAACATTGGAGATGGTCTTATAGTTTCATTTGCACTATTTAAACCCTCAAAACTTCATATTACAGTGCAATTTTAAACTTACTTGACCGAAGAAACAAATGGGTGTTTTGGGAAGATGGTTAAAAATTGATTTTTTGATTTTTTTAAAAAAAAGTATAAAAAATATAAAAGATGATATGATCTATATAATATATTAAGCAAAAGGGAATTTTTAACCCCAAGGCCTGTGGGAGCTTCAATATCCCAATCTGAATTTTTTAATTTTTTATTAAAAAAAAA